ATTCTAAGATCCAAATATTCAATTATATTAATTATATGTCTTACATTATCCTTAATCTGCCTGCCGGGCAGAAATCCGGCCTGGTCTTTATGGATCGCTCTATTCAGATATTTCTTTAATCTGCTAGCCATTATTCCTGCAAAGATCTTATAATCATCATTGAGCAGTGATATTGGTCTGTAATTCTTTATATCGAGCGTGTCCGAGTCTACTTTCGGAATTACCGTTATGTATGCCTCTCTCCATGAGTCAGGAATTTCTCCCCCTTGTAAGATGTTGTTAATTACATTACATAAAACCGGGGCCAGATATTCCTCTAGAGTTTTGTAATATTTTTGAGACAGGCCGTCCGGGCCTGGGGCTTTCCCCGGTTTCATTTTCTTAATGATGTTCCTGACCTCTTCCACCGTTATTGGGTCATTTAAGAGTGCTTTTTCTTCTTCTAGTAGTTGTTCCCCTCCACTGTTTTCCAAATACCTGTTTATCTCATTTATATCCTCATCTTCCTTCTTTTTATACAGAGCTTCATAGTATTGCTGGAACTTTTCCTTTATCTCATTAGGATCTTCTATTATTTGGGCTTCATGTTTAATTTTATTGATTACTCTTTGTTTTTTCCTTTTCCTCAGTTGCCACGCTAGTAATTTACCTGTTTTATTTGCCGACTCGAAATATTTCTGTTTCATCAGTTTTATTCCCCACTCTATTTCTTGGTTTATCAATGTTGAATATTGGGTTTGTAATAATTTGCCGAGTTGTTTGCTCTTTTCATCTTCGGGATTTTTTATTAAATTTCTCTCTGTTTCTTTTAATTGTTTAATTATTTCCGCCTTTTTTACCTCTCTCAAATTCTTTTTATATTTATTCTGTTGGATCAAGAAACCCCTAAGTACTGCTTTACTTGCATCCCAGACCACATCGATTTTTGTTCCTTTATTCAGGTTTTGATCAAAATATTCTTTCAAAATGTTCTTTGCCTTACCGATTGTATCATCCTGTTCCAATAGGTAATCGTTCATTCTCCATCTATAAGGGCCTGCTAGCTTACACTTTAATTCCAAAAATATAAGATTGTGGTCCGAGAGTGTTCTGGGATCTATTTCACATTTCACCGATCTTGTCGAGAGCTCTCTGGAAACCCAGATCTGGTCAATTCTACCCCAGCTTTGGTGGACTCCCGAAAAATGTGTAAACTGCTTTTCAGTAGGGTTTTTGAACCTCCAGATGTCAATTAAATCTAGATTTTCTTGGAGGTCATCAAAAGTTTTGGGGAGTTTACCCTGGTTCCTTTTCCTCTTTTTTTCACTTCTATCTATCTCAGGTTCCGGGACTCCATTCATGTCACCAAGTACAATTAAATTATGGTTTTCCAATTCCAACAGTATTTGTTCCAATTTTCTATAGAATTCAGTTTGGTTTGTATTGGGGGCATAGATCGATACTACATTAATTCTTTCCCCTTGGTGGGTAATTTGAACTCCGAGGATCCTCCCTTCTTCGTCTTTATAAATCAGTTTGGGTTCCAATTTCTCTTTCACATAGATTACCAAACCTTTCTTTTTATTCACTTCTGAGTTTATGAATTCCACTCCTAATTTTTTGTTAACCAGTATATGTTTATGTTTTTTAGCTACATGGGTCTCCTGGCAGCAAATCACATCACATTTTTTATTTCTCAGGACTTTCTCTATTTTATTTCTTTTTGATTTTTCATTTAAACCGTTAACATTCCATGTTAGAAAAGTTAAAGACATTGCTAAAATTATATATCGGGTTTATTCAAAACTTTCAATTCCTGACTTCTTCCTCCTCTTCTGTGTTCCCCTCTTCCACCTCACCTTCCTCCTCTTCCCCCCCCAGCCCCCCCAGCCCCCCTCCCTCCCCCCTCGCAGCCCCGCCCCTCCCTCCTCCTCAGTTCTTCCATTTCCTGCGACCTGTCTATCTATTGCTCTATCTTCCTTTTTGCCCAACTCCCTTTCGTATCTTCTCAAAAACTTTTCTATCTCTAATGGATTGGTCAGTTTGAATCTTTTATCCTTAAAGAAAAAAGCGATTCCTTCGGGGAATTCCCATCTAAATTGGATATTATTCCTTCTGAGAACACCTGTTATATGTCTATATCCCTCCCTTTTGCGTAGCAGCCTAACTGGGATCTCTTTGAGTACAATTATTGGTCTACCGCCTATTATTAATTTTTTATGATAACTCGTTTTAAGAACCAAATTCCTCATTCCTATTGAATTAAACACTACTAAGCAGTCCCCAAGGGGTTTCTTAGTCCTGTTCTGGTATGTTCTTATTTTAATTCTAAAGGCGTTATCTATCGTGAATGCGACCTCCTCCTCCTTCACCTCTAGCCATTTTGCTAGTTCCTTGGTTATTTTCTCTCTAACATTCTCGTTCATCTCTTCTTCTATGCCTCTAAATTTTAGGTGCATTTGCCTTTGCCGCATTTCTGTCATTGCAATACTGTCCCATATCTGTTCTTGTGTTTTGTTCAGCTCACGCATCTCCTCCTTCACCTTTTCTGTCTCCCTTTTCTGTTCTCTCATATCTTTTTGAATTTTTTTGTTGGTTTCCTCGAATATCTTTGTTTTGGTCGTTAATTCTTGAACTTTATTTGAGAGCTCCCCTATTGCTCCCTCAATTCTCCTATCTATCCTTTCCTGTAGTTCCTCTAGTTTATTTTCTATATGGTTTTCGTTCTGCTTAAGTTCCTCCTTAATTTTTAACCACAGAAAGTCTAAGTCTTTAATTTCTTCTTGTCTAGATACTTTTCTTTCACCTGGGGTTCCCCCTCCCCTTTTCCCATTCTTCCCCTGCATCTTATTTTTAATTAACCGCTTCAATCTTTTAAGGCTGATTCTCTCCCCTTAGGGGCTCACAATCTACTTACTCCCACTCTGTGAGACCGTTCGGTCTTTCTAGGCAGTCTCACTGGCTGCACTAAATACGTAATCCTGAGGTGCCACTCTCCCGCGGTCCACTCTCGCACGGTCCTCTTCTCGTTCTTGCCTATCCGAGATGTCCTATATATACAATTAGACCACACGTGCTCTTAATTAGGATGATCTTAGGAGGAGGTAGTGGTGATTGTACTGTTCCAATGTCTTATCTGAATAGGGGAAGCGATTCAGGTCCACAATTTAAAGTAATTGTCCTGATTAATAACTCGCACTACACCAAAAAAACTCTCTGCAACAGCGTTAAAGTTTCCAATCTTTCCAATCTATCTCAGTCCAGCAGAGAAGTCTCTATCTTGAATTCACAGTCCTATCCTTTTCTCTCTCCTCAACTGAGGACTTAGTACAGTGTCCAATAGCAAATTACAAAGTATAAAAATCTCATGTAATTATCAGGCCACTTATTATGCTATTCGGGCAGTCAATGAGATCTTTTTGTTGATGAGAGAGGGGGTGGAGGGGCGGGGGTGGGGAGGGGCGGGGGTGGGGAGGGTGGAGAGGCAGGGGAGCAATATGGAAGTTTTAACAAATTAGGTATGGGCGGTGGGTATGGGAGATATGGGATGTGGGGCAGAGGGAATAAAGAAGAGAAGATACAGAGGTTGGGTGATGAGGAAGGTGGAAAGAGAAGAGGTATTCGGAACAAATGTATAATATTACACAGTTCTCTGTATAAAGCCGCCTAGTCCATGCAAAAAAGTAAAGTTTCACCGCGTAGGGGGAGATGAACCTTAATATATCTGTTTTCGGGAGTAGATATCAGCGGAGGTAGTCATACTAGTCATACTAGTTTATTGTCTATGCCTCCTCTGTATTCTCTTTTTCCCTTATCTCCCCGAGATGTTTCTTCAGCGGCGTTTGTTGCTGCTTATATTTAATAAGATATTGCTGGGAGTCCACACGTAATAAGTAATTGTCTCAAATAAGTAATTGTCTCAAATAAAAGCCAAACTAACGGCCAAACTTGTCTCCTCCCGAAAGACCAGGTAAGTAACCAACTCAGGCAATTCAAACAAGCAGTTCTAAACCGTTCTGCTTGTAATAGTATTAGTCCAAAGCAAATATAAACGTTCACTTCGTTCCCTTCGTTCGTCCAGAACTATCTCTCTTTGTTTTGTGCGCATACAGCTCGGCTATTATAAATTACCTTCCTTTCTGACTGCCGACGCTTTCAAAGTCTGCGTCATTTTCGCCCTCCTTCGGGTGGAGACAGTATAAAAGAAGAAACCTGTAGCAACCCGGGCTCACCCATCTTCTTGTCTTTTTAACGTTGTTTTAAGACCTCAACGATGGGGATTCCGTTTTAAGTTTGTAGAGGTTCGTCGCTTTCCTCGGTGGGAGCTGGGGGCATCATAACTCGGAGACGGCGTTCTCCCTGGTTGCGCACGCGGCCCCTCCCTGTGCTTCCTCGCAGCGTAGAAAGCCACTGGGATTGAGCGCCGCTTCCGCGCTGCCGGGAAACCTTCCCCCAGGGGTAACCCCCCTGGGCTTCCGCTTTTCTGGGGGGCGCAGTGCCCTTGCGGCACCCCCGAATCCCCGAGTTATTCGAAGAGCCCTTTCGCGTAGCTCTCCGCGCTCCCTCTCCGTCCGCGACCGGAACCGGAAGTCCAATTTGTCACTTTTTAAAAATTTGTCCCCTGCTTTACACACGGCCCAGCCTGGAAAACTCAAAATCTTGCCCACTATTTTGTGCCAACTGGTTGCCCAACTGTGGATTTCCATTTCTGCAGGCGGCAAAATTAGGAGTCTGCCACACACCTAGCATTCAACAATCCCTATTTGATAGACTGTAACAGGCTTGGTCAGGCTCAAGTTCTGAACGAGTTGGACATTTGCTCCATTGTTGTGACAAGAAGGTGAATTCATTAATGATTGCAAAGCTTTCTCAGAACTGTGAACTGAAAGCTATATAAAATGTCAGAAGGCGTGTACTTTGTAAACCAAGAAAATCTTTAATAAAAACATTTTTTTAAGAAGTCATCTGCTGCTATTAATTACATCTTTATTTTATTCTGAAAACACTTTTTATAACCTTACTTTTCTGTGGTCCTTTTTCACTTAAACATTTTAGGGTTATTGTTCTTCAGTACCATCACTACACAATCCCTGTGTGCTGCAGAACTGAGAATTCTGATACGAAGCCTTTCATTTCATATCAATAACTGTTGGAAAGATCCAAAACCCAAAGTCAGTTTGCAATCTGGCCATTTTGTGTGTATATATGAGGGCATCTAATGCTATTGCCATTATTACTGTCTGGGTCTTGTTTACCAGGTGCTCCTCTCTGATTAGATTGATGGCATTTTGCAGCAGCAGATGCTTAGAAAGTTACAGCTGATTCCCCCCTCCCCGCCCCCACTCCCCAATAACAACAGGCACAATCCACCGGCAGCTGGTCCTCCACAAACACTGTGAATGAATTAAACTTATGCCAGGGCATAGCCACCATTTATTTCAGTGGGGTTGTTAAGGAGAAGTTCCTAGTGGATCGAATTACTCCCTGCTCTTTCTGAACAGTGCAGCTGTAAGCATACCTACAGACTTACAGGTTAACACATGTAATGTTAATAATAAACACAAGCGTGCTATTCACCCTTCGTATATTTATATACAACCAATTGCCATTTAGCAATTTGCCACTGATGACAATAATTGAGGCTGTTACTTTGAGATGAAAATTGATTTTGTCTGATGTGAATGGTGGCTACCCAAACAGAAGTATTTCAGGTTTAACCGTAAAATAAAATTACCGGCAAGCGTCCAAATAGCCCCACAGTTACTTCTGTGTCAGTAGGGGCTCTGGGGCCTCCCCAAACCTTTAGAAGCAGATCTGAGGAGAGTGGGAGGGCACAGTGGGAAGGAGACGTCATTCCACTCGTGAAATGACTTTGCTGGATTCAGCTCTGTTGGATGAACTCAATCTAACGTGGTATCAAACATTCTGCCAGCGCAAGAATATCAACTTGCCAGAGAGAATGACCCGGCCTCTCCCTTCCCCACATGCTGGTTTTTTTGGGATCTCCTGACATACATACCCCGGGCGGAGGGCATGGGGGAAGAAGAGGAGGCAAAGCTCCATTGCGCAAGTCCTTGTGCAGGACTTCTGCTGATAGGACTTGTTAGGCGAAATCCACCGTATGTGTGTGCACATTGTGCAGACACATGTAAACTGCTGTGCAAGATTTGGTTTGCAATGGATATATATATATATATTCTCCAAACGGGGAAAATATGGTACAATAGTGGACTACTTGCAAGCTGTTCACGTACGAGAAATGACTTACATTGGTATGCCTAGGAAGATGGACTAGTAATAATGTTTATGGGCTGGTAATTTTTATGTACCTGCATGCATGCCTGTGCCTCTCTGCTTCCCTCTTCTCTCACCATATAATGCCAGCTCCCAAATGTTGGTATCTACCAACAGACCATAGCAGAAGATTCAGCAGGTTCTTGTATTGCTGATTGGTCTTCTCTCGCCCTTTTCTTCCACAGGCCCTGCTGCAAAAAAGAAGTATGTCAGTTATAACAATCTGGTTATCTAGTCAGCTGCATCAGACGGAGCCATGGGAGGATGGAGATTTTCATCCATTCAGTCACCTAACCTCGTGTAGGCCTGTTCCTGAAACCGCAGCGTATGCACTGCTGGAGACGTTGAAAGGCCAGGCAGTTATTATGGAGGATCCAAGTATTCTGAACAGCTGCTCTATGAAAATATCCTTAACTTATTCTTGGCTTAATAAGTCACTGGCACTGCCACTGGGCTGTGATGTTGGACCTTTTCTTCATTGTATGGGAGGTATGACCTATGAGCTCCGACCAGCTTCTCCCGGGTGAACTGCAATTGGCCATGGTGACTTTCAAGGGGCTATTTTTGTCTTTCTATGTACTTCCAAACTGCAAGTTTTTGAACTTTCTGTACAGTTTGTGAGGGATTTTTGCATATTGCCATTCATGTCGTTTCAGAGGTTCACCGTTGGTTTTAAATGCACAGTTATCATGCAAGCCCTGCTCTTTCTAACTTTAGCACACTAAAACAAAAACGACAAAAACCCTGAGATTTAAAAGAATTTATGTACATGACTTGTATGATTATTACTGTACCACTGCAATTCATATATGTTATTTTTTTAATTAAAACAAAAGGGAGAAAAAAGATACTTAAGACCAAAAACTGTGCTGACCAAGCAAGCCCCTCACTCTGTCCCCGCCCCTTTCTTCCACCTCCACCTCCATTCTCTGCCTTTCATAATTCTGATGGCAACAGAGAAAGCAGAACGGATTGCTGAATTTTGATAGAGGTCGTCTTGATATTTGGAATGCATGCCAGTAATGTATTTTACAGTACATGTTAATAATTTATGTTGGATATTTGTATTTGTGTTTCTATTTTGTTCTTTTCATTACGGTATATAACTATTTTGCAATAATTTCAATAATTCTTATGGTATTTGAAAGAAAGAAAACGGCTTTTACATGTCTTGAAAAGATTTTTTTTCTTTGTTAATGCCCCACTATTGACTGACCAGTGTGATTTAAACAAAAAAAAAAGACTTTTAAGGGAAAAAAGCATGTATGTTTTATACTGTTTGTAATAAGTAATTTCGTTAATCTTGCTGCTTATGTGCCAATTTAGTGAGAACAATCTTTGCCGCAGAACTCCCCTCTTTCCATACTCTCAAACCTGTGATATTGTCTAAGAATGTATCAATAAAACATTTTGGTTAACTTTTCTTTATTTACTGTAAAAATGCTATTTTCTAGTTGGGACCCCACTTCTCTTTCAAGGTTATATCAAGGTGGCTAGTCTTTGCTGAGATAGAGACGAGACAGGCAAGAAGTCACAAGAAAAAGCACGTTCCCTGTGTTTGTGTGACAGAGGAATGGATTCCAGAATTGGTTGCTTGCTGAACAGAAGACTATTCTTGGCCAAGGTGAAGTGCACAGATTGGGTCTATTTGTGACTGGAATATAAATTGTATATACACAGCAAATGTAAAGGTAGGTTGGAAAACAGGCAACCACTTTAGGGTATGGTCACTCTAAATATTCCAAATGAACACAGGGCTCGCTGTACAGTAGCTTATAAAGATAGGAAGTATTAATTATTGCCCATAACTAATGAGACTGCCAAGAGGTTTTCTTTTACTTGGGATTCCCAGCAGTCTTGAGTACTGGTCAAAAGCAATTGAGAAAGGAACAGGCTACAACCACACTAGTGACTGCATGTGTGTAATTTTGCTTTCCACAGTCAGTCTGTGTGTAAGAAGGTTGCCAGATGTTGGATATAAGTTAAATTCATCCCTTCACAGTATGACTGCAATGAAAATGAGGCCAAATTCAACTTGGCATGATTCAAAAAGACCTCCAAGGATCATGCAACAAGTTTTCTATAGGATAAAAGAAAAAGAATAGGGTGACTGATACAGGTCAAAACAGGTGATTCAGTTAGATTCTCTTTCTTGACAGATGAGATAGCACACCTGCATGCTACCTTCAGGCAATGCAGCAATGTTTTCTGTCTAATTTGAAGATTAGATTCCAAAGTATTTATCGTCCCTTTTTATCCAGACAACTTGATAAATTATACTGATGAAGGTAATCAGCATCAAAACAAAATGTGACAGCCGGGAGGCATTAGCCCACAACAGAATGCTATGGATGAAAACCTTCATGTTCCAATTTTGACTGGATCTTGATGCTGTTATTTTAAGGGGAAGAGAGGGCACTGAAGAACTTTTTCAAAAGCCATACCTGAATGGGAGCCATACCTCAGTGAAATATAAATACGATATACACGAATATATGGAAACAACCATATCCTACCATTATGCACCCCAGATCTATCCAGGGTTCAGGGTGCACTGCAATGTTGAAAAACAATGTCTGCCTTTGTAGGCATCGCCATTCACTTCTTTATGGTAAATCTGCATTCAGACTGAGAGCTGCCACTTCACTGAAATTTGTGAGTCTGGTAGGTATGGGACTTCTAAAGCATTGAAGGCATGGATGCGTAATCCTGGTGCCCTTCAGAGTTTGGTGATCTCCAACTCCCATCAGGCTCAGCCAGCATGGACAATAGTCAAAGTAGTCCAGCAACATCCGGGCAGCATCAGCTTCCCCATCCCTGCTCTAAGGGATAGCTGGATAGGAGTGACGATCTTGGAAAACAAGACTTTTAAGTAAACCATTCATAAGGAATGTGAGCAGTGTAAAAGCAAAGAGTACAAGGGTTAACACCTGCAATTTCCCATTCGTTTTCAAATGTCATTTCAGAAAAGAATTGAAAAATGTCCAATGGCTTTTGTTTATTTTTTTATTGAAAATATAGTTTTGCTTCCCCTATACTTTGTAAATTCATGAAAAAGTGTACTCCTTTCCTGATTTCTTCACAGTATTACAAGCAACAAGGTAATTAACTATGATTAGGAATTATAGATCAAGCTTCTGTATTATACTTGATCCAATCTGTTGATACAGTAAACATAAAGCACATGAACACATAATGCATTCTATTTTGGACGTTTAGTAACATTGAACACTGCCTTTTATTTACTGAGTCAGACCACTGGGCCATCTAGCACAGTATCATCTCCACTGATTGGCAACAGCTCTCCAGCATTTCAGTCAGGATTGTCTCCCAGTCATACCTGGAGATACCAGGGATTGTACCTGGAACCACGTTCTGCATGCAAAGATGCTCTACCAATGAGCCATGGTGCTTCCCCAAACTTCTGAGTTACACAGAACACTGGGCTATAGAAATTAAATATAGGTTTTCTAAAAATATATATTTGGGGGTCTAGGAAAGTTTGACAAGTTGTGTCCAACTTATAGCATTGCATGCAGACTTTTTCATCTTAAGGTGGATGGAGGAAGCATATAGGATTGCCATCTGATTACTGTGAATCAGAAAATTACTATGGGTTTGACTTGAAGCCATCCTGGATCACAGCTTGAGGCTTAGGCAAAATAATGCTTGGGCCAGAATGACTGGCTGGTGTTCCTTAATGGTAATGGAATGTGTTGTTCTGGGAGCTAATTGTTAAAATATGGCTTCTGGAAACAGCTCTTGAATGTTCTGACAGGAGGAAAGGAAGGCAACATACCTTTTCTGAGCCTCCTCGAATGAAGGTGTTTTTGCAAAAAAGAACAAGAAGAACAATACAGTTAGCAAAAAACTGAGATGGAAGGAGGCAAGGAGCTTTGAGATTTGCAAAGTTAAGAGCATCTATGGGTGGCTCTTTGCCTTTCTGGAGATCTGATGAAGCAGTGGATCTGCTACTCGGCAGGAGTGCTGCACTGTCTACTTCCACCTATGCTCAAATTGTCTTTTTGTAAATAAACATTATAAAAACATTATAAATCTCCAGTGATCTGTCCTGCTAAAGAGATCAAAGCAGGGTAAATGCTGCCCCTGAAACTTGTCAACACTGAGGTAAGTGGGGAACATGTAACAATATATGACAACACTATATTAACCATGGATCGTGTGAGTAGGTTTCAAGTTATACAAAGCAATAAATGAAGATGCCTTCATTATGCAAATATATGTTCCATAGCATTTTGGTGTAACAAAAAGATTCCACTGCAGGTAGGAAATATTTCAAAAAGTGGGCATGACTATAAACATTATTATCTTCTTTCTGACTACCAGGGAACTACATTATCTATGGTTTAGGCCAGGAATGAGTGGGGGAAAGACAGAGATTGCCATCCACCAGTAGACTGATTGATGTTTTGCAGCATATCAGCAAGAGTTTCTGACTCTCAATTATTTAACAACAGCAACAACATTGTTACCCTGATCTTGTTGGATCCCTGATCTGTCATCCTTCTGTATGGGTATAGTTTGTAACTGGATCCATCAACAACACCCAGAGCTATTATTTTGCATAGGCTCTGGTGGCTCCGTGTGAAGCTTCTAGTAAATAGCAAACTAGATCCTGCAAACCTGGACTCTGCTACTTGAGTATTCAGAAAAATCACAGGACAACTGTGGATCAGGAATTGGTTACATTGCAGAAAGCAAAGAGTAGGAATAAATGGATAGCTCTTCCAATGTAGAGATGTAGAAGGTGTGGTCTGCCAAGGATCGGTATTGTGACTTATACTTTTGATCAAGAGTTAGGGGTGAGTGGTGAGGTGGCCAAATTTGCTGATACTAAAGTTTTCAGGGTTGTTAAAACATAAAGAGTGTGAATGGGAGGTAAAATGGCAAATGCAATTCAATGTAAACAAGTGCAAAGTGATAGATGTAGGGGCAAAGAAAATCTTAATTTTTGCATATATACTCATGGGGTGTGAACTGGCAGTGAGTGATCAGGAAAGAGACTCTGGGGTGGTAGTAAATAGCTTGATGAAGATGTTGACTCAGTGTGCGGAAGCCGTGAGAAAGGCAAATTCCATGCTAGGGATCATTAGGAAAGCAATGGGAAATAAAACTTGGTATCATAATGCCATTATACAAATATACAGGGCGGTTAAATGTGGAAAAACTG